CGTGTAAAGGAAATGAATGGGGCCATGTATCGTGAGATTTTGAGTGAAAACCTCCTTCCATCAGCAAGGGCATTGAAGATGAAACGTGGCTGGGACTTTCAGCATGACAATGATCCCAAACACACTGCCCGGGCAACGAAGGAGTGGCTTCGTAAGAAGCATTTCAAGGTCCTGGAGTGGCCTAGCCAGTCTCCAGATCTCAACCCCATAGAAAATCTTTGGAGGGAGTTGAAAGTCTGTGTTGCCCAGCGACAGCCCCAAAACATCACTGCTCTAGAGGAGAGCTGCATGGAGGAATGGGCCAAAATACCAGCAACAGTGTGTGAAAACCTTGAAGACTTACAGAAAACGTTTGACCTGTGTCATTGCCAACAAAGGGTATATAACAAAGTATTGAGAAACTTTTGTTATTGACCAAATACCTATTTTCCACCATAATTTGCAAATAAAATCATTAAAAATCCTACATAAATCCATAAAAAATCCTACAATGTGATTTTCTGGATTTTTTTTCCCTCATTTTGTCTGTCATAGTTGACGTGTACCTATGATGAAAATTACAGGCCTCTCATCTTTTTAAGTGGGAGAACTTGCACAATTGGTGGCTGACTAAATACTTTTTTCCCCACTGTATATTTAGACATGTTGTGACATATATTGCGTTATTTTATGGCTGGTTTATGACACTTATTGGACATCTCCCATACGATGGCTGCCATTTTACGGGCTCCTAACCAATTGTGTTATTATGTGAGTTTTTTCGCGTTATTTGTAACTTATTTGGTACATAATGTTTCTGCCACCGTCTCTTACGACCAAAAAGAGCTTCTGGATATCAGGACAGCGATTACTCACCTCGTACTGGACGAAGATTTTTTCTTCAACGAGTCGGACGCGAAGGATTTACTTCAGACACCCAACAAGGCCCAAATCCCCGTCATTCGCAGGACAAAGAGACAGAGTTATTGGGGACGTAGGTCGGGGTGCCTTGTAAGGATCCGACGGCGAGTGGGTAATCTGCATCTTCCATCAGTCCTATTAGCCAAAGTACAATCATTGGATAACAAAATTGACAAGCCACGATCACGAATATCCTACCAACGGGACATTAAAAACTGTAATATCTTATGTTTCACCGAGTCGTGGCTGAACAACGACATGGATAACATACAGCTGGTGGGGTTTACACCGCATCGGCAAGATAGAACAACAGCCTCTGATAAGACAAGGGGTGGCGGTCTGTGTATATTTGTAAACAACAGCTGGTGCACGAAATCTAGTATTAAGGAAGACTTGAGGTTTTGCTCGCATGAGGTAGAGTATCTCAAGATAAGCTGTAGACCACACTATTTACCAAGAGAGTTTTCATCTATATTTTTCGTAGCTGTCTATTTACCACCACAAACCAATGCTGGCACTAAGACCGCACTCAATGAGCTGTATACGGCCATAAGCAAACAGGAAAACGCTCATCCAGAGGCGGCACTCCTAGTGGCCGGGGACTTTAATGCAGGGAAACTGAAATCCGTTCTACCAGCATGTTAAATGTGCAACCAGAGGAAAGAAAAAAACTCTAGACCACCTTTACTCCACACACAGAGATGCGTACAAAGCTCTCCCACACCCTCCATTTGGCAAATCTGACCATAATTCTATCCTCCTGATTCCTGCTTACAAGCAAAAACGAAAGCAGGAAGCACCAGTGACTTGGTCAATAATGAAATGGTCAGATGACGCAGATGCTAAGCTACAGGACTGTTTTGCTAGCACAGACTGGAATATGTTCCGGGATTCTTCCGATGGCATTGAGGAGTACACCACATCAGTCACTGGCTTCATCAATAAGTGCATCGATGACGTCGTCCCCACAGTGACTGTACGTACATACCCCAACCAGAAGCCATGGATTACAGGCAACATCCGCACTGAGCTAAAGGGTAGAGCTGCCGCTTTTAAGTAGTGGGACTCTAACCCGGACGCTTATAAGAAATCCCGCTTTGCCCTCCGACGAACCATCAAACAGGCAAAGCGTCAATACAGGACTAAGACTGAATCGTACTACACCGGCTCCGATGCTCGTCGGATGTGGCAGGGCTTGCAAACTATTACATACTACAAAGGGAAGCACAGCCGCGAGCTGCCCAGTGACACGAGCCTACCAGACGAGCTAAATCACTTCTATGCTCGCTTCGAGGCAAGCAACACTGAAGCATGCATGAGAGCACCAGCTGTTCCGGACGACTGTGTGATCACTCTCTCCGTAGCTAATGTGAGTAAGACCTTTAAACAGGTCAGCATTCACAAGGCCGCAGGGCCAGACGGATTACCAAGACGTGTACTCCGAGCATGCGCTGACCAACTGGCAAGTGGCTTCACTGACATTTTCAACCTGTCCCTGACTGAGTCTATAATACCAGCATGTTTCAAGCAGACACCATAGTCCCTGTGTCATGGAACACTAAGGTAACCTGTCTAAATGACTACAGACCTGTAGCGCTCACGTCCATAGCCATGAAGTGCTGGTCATGGCTCACATCAACACCATTATCCCAGAAACCCTAGACCCACTCCAATTTGCATACCGCCCCAACAGATCCACACAGCCCTTTCCCACCTGGACAAAAGGAACACCTACTTGAGAATGGTATTCATTGACTACAGCTCAGCGTTCAACACCATAGTGCCCTCAAAGCTCATCACTAAGCTAAGGACCCTGGGACTAAACACCTCCCTCTGCAACTGGATCCTGGACTTCCTGACGGGCCGCGTCCAGGTGGTAAGGGTAGGTAACAACACATCTGCCATGCTGATCCTCAACACGGGGGCCACTCAGGGGTGCATGCTCAGTCCCCTCCTGTACTCCCTGTTCACCCATGACTGCATGGCCAGGCACGACTCCAACACCATCATTAAGTTTGCCGACGACACAACAGTGGTAGGCCTGATCACCGACAACGATGCGACAGCCTATAGGGAGGAGGTCAGAGACCTGGCCGTATGGTGCCAGGATAACTGTCTCTCCCTCAACGTGATCAAGGCAAAGGAGATGATTGTGGACTACAGGAAAAGAAGAACCGAGCACGCCCCCATTCTCATCGACAGGGCTGTAGTGGAGCAGGTTGAGAGCTTCAAGTTCCTTGGTGTCCACATCACCAACAAACTATCATGGTCCAAACACACCTAGACAGTCGTGAAGAGGGCACGACAAAGCCTATTCCTCCTCAGGAGACTGAAAAGAATTGGCATGGGTCCTCAGATCCTCAAAAAGTTATACAGCTGCACCATCGAGAGCATCCTGACTGGTTGCATCACTGCCTGGTATGGCAACTGCTCGGCCTCTGACCACAAGGCACTGCAGAGGGTAGTGCGTACGGCCCAGTACATCACTGGGACCAAGCATCCTGCCATCCAGGACCTCTATACCAGGCGGTGTCAGAGGAAGGCCCTAAACATTTTCAAAGACTCCAGCCACCCTAGTCATAGACTGTTCTCTCTGCTACCGCACGGAAAGCGGTACTTTTACCAAGTCTAGGTCCAAAAGGCTTCTTAACAGCTTCTACCCCCAAGACATAAGACTCCTGAACAGCTAATCAAATGGCTACCCGGACTAGTTGCATTGTCCCCCCCACCCCCTCTTTTACGCTGCTGCTACTCTGTTTATTATCTATGCAGTCACTTTAACTCTACCTACATGTACATATTACCTCAAATTACCTCGACTAACCGGTGCCCCCGCAAATTGACTCTGTACCGGTACCCCCTGTATATAGCCTCGCTATTGTTATTTTTACTGCTTTTATTTTTTAGTTATCTATTGTATACTTAACACTTATTTTTCTTAAAACTGCATTGTTGGTTAAGGGCTTGTAAGTAAGCATTTTACTGTAAGGTCTACACCTGTTGTATTCGGCACATGTGACAAATACAATTTGATACGGCCCATTTACAAGCTACACTACATGACCAACAGTATTGGGACACCTGCTCGTCAAACATCTCATTCCAAAATCATGGGCATTAAAATGGAGTTGGTCCCCCCTGCTATAACAGGTATAAGAGCCTCCACTCTTCTGGGAAGAGAGAACGCGTTTCCACTGCTCCAGAGTCCAATGGCGGCGAGCTTTCACCACTCCAGCCGACGCTAAATCCACACAGACAGACAACCCTTCCCCATGCTATGTTGTTGCTGAGGGATAAATAACAATGGTTAAAGAGAAACTTCCAGCCACTGTCAGTCAGTCCCTCACCCCACATTATTATGCAACCCGACCAGCGTCACCTTGGATACTAGCTCTAATGAGTGTTGGAAATGTTTCCGAATCATTTTGGCAATGGCAGCATTTCCCTGTTAGAAGAAGCAAAGCAAACAATGGGGAAAATATTTGGTCCCCCGTGTTATTGGTTCTTTGCCATCATTATACCAACAGTATACCATACAACCACAGAATGGTTTTGGGTACTGTAAAATCCTAAGCTACTATTACTAGTACCTGGTAAACTTGCTCTCTTCAGGTAGATGCTTACAGTTTTCAGAGAAAAGTGTGCACACACAGACAGTTATAAAAAGTAATATGAATAGTCTTTTTTTTTATGTTCAATTCTGTTTTTAATGTAAAAGGCACTGCTCATCTCTATTGTAACTGTAAGCCTTCAAGTAAGAGAAAGACAGAGGAAATGTGGAATGATGCAATTGGTTACTAACAATTATATACTTCTATGTAACTACCTGATACCAAATGTTACTTAGTGGTGCCTGTTTGTTTTGATGAATCTGAAAGAACCTTCATAGATTCAACTTCATAAACTTGACAGAAAATTCTTAGGTTATTACTGTGTAATTACCATTTACCATGTAATTTCTAAAGAAATATCAAGTATTGTGAGGTGTAGTAAAATAAATGTGCTTGTTTAATAAGATTCAAGACACATTTCCATTCAAAACCAGGGTCAGTTCTCTTTCGTTTGGTGCCTACTGAACACGACACAGAGAAAGCTATTTGTCAGGATTGCTGGACCCTTCCTGCAGAGATAGAGGATTTGGGGCGTTTGGGTGTCCTTGGTCCCAATACGGGGGATGGGTCAGAAGAGTGGTGCTTGCGCACATGGCGCAGCAGCAGCTGGCGGTCCGGCGTAGCATACGGACAGATGTGGCAGGGGAAAGACTTGCCTGTGTGGTGGCGTCGTGCGTGGAGATCTAAGCTCTTTTTCTGGATGCTACAGAAAAAATTTAAGAGAAAGAGGAAGATAGTGAGAGCGAGACAGAGACAGACATAGAGAGGGAGAGAGAGAGCTAACTTACAGTGTGGACAGTGTGGGAGACTGGCAAGGTAGACAGAGGCTGCCATTGAGGAGTAGAGATAGACTTTGCAAACGATTAAAATGAACTCTAAACAGCCATTAGTGTGTATGTGTGTGTGTGGTTACCTGCTGTAGGGACAGTACTGGCAGCAGTAGGGCCTCTCCTGTGTGTGCGTGCGGGAGTGTCGGCGCAGGGAGCTGCTGTCGATGGATGCGTAGGGACACTGAAGGCATTTGAAGGGCTTCTCACCTACAGGTAGATACAGTTGAAGTCGGAAGTTTACATTCACTTAGGTTGGAGTCATTAAAACTCATTTTTCAACCACTCCACACATTTCTTGTTAACAAACTATAGTTTTGGCAAGTCGGTTAGGACATCTACTTTGTGCATGACACAAGTAATTTTTCCAACAATTGTTTACAGACAGATTATTTCACTTATAATTCACTGTATCACAATTCCAGTGGGTCAGAAGTTTACATACACTAAGTTGACTGTGCCTTCAAACAGCTTGGAAAATTCCAGAAAATGTCATGGCTTTAGAAGCTTCTGATAGGCTAATTAACATCATTTGAGTCAATTGGAGTTGTACCTGTGGATGTATTTCAAGGCCTACCTTCAAACTCAGTGCCTCTTTGCTTGACATCATGGGAAAATCAAAAGAAATCAGCCAAGACCGAAATAAAATTGTAGACCTCCACAAGTCTGGTTCATCCTTTGGAACAACTTCAAAACGCCTGAAGGTACCACGTTAATCTGTACAAACAATAGTACGCAAGTATAAACACCATGGGACCATGCAGCCGTCATACCGCTCAGGAAGGAGACGCGTTCTGTCTCCTAGAGATGAACGTACTTTGGTGCGAAAAGTGCAAATCAATCCCAGAACAACAGCAAAGGACCTTGTGAAGATGCTGGAGGAAACAGGTACAAAAGTATCTATATCCACAGTAAAACGAGTCCTATATCGACATAACCTGAAAGGCCGCTCAGCAAGGAAGAAGCCACTGCTCCAAAACCGCCATGCAAAAACCAGACTACGGTTTGCAACTGCACATGAGGACAAAGATCGTACTTTTTGGAGACATGTCCTCTGGTCTGATGAAACAAAAATAGAACTGTTTGGCCATAATGACCATCGTTATGTTTGGAGGAAAAAGGGGGTGCTTGCAAGCCGAAGAACACCATCCCAACCGTGAAGCACGGGGTGGCAGCATCATGCTGTGGGGGTGCTTTGCTGCAGGAGGGACTGGTGCACTTCACAAAATAGATGGCATCATGAGGAAGGAAAATTATGTGGATATATTGAAGCAACATCTCAAGACATCAGTCAGGAAGTTAAAGGTTGGTCGCAAATGGGTCTTCCAAATGGACAATGACCCCAAGCATACTTCCAAAGTTGTGGCAAAATGGCTTAAGGACAACAAAGTCAAGGTATTAGAGTGGCCATCACAAAGCCCTGACCTCAATCCTATAGAACATTTGTGGGCAGAACTGAAAAAGCGTGTGCGAGTAAGGAGGCCTACAAACCTGACTCAGTTACACCAGCTCTGTCAGGAGGAATGGGCCAAAATTCACCCAATTTATTGTGGGAAGCTTGCGGAAGGCTACCCGAAACATTTGACCCAAGTTAAACAATTTAAAGGCAATGCTACCAAATACTAATTGAGTGTATGTAAACTTCTGACCCACTGGGAATGTGATGAAAGAAATAAAAGCTGAAATAAATCACTCTACTATTATTCTGACATTTCACATTCTTAAAATAAAGTGGTAATCCTAACTGACCTAAAACAGGGAATTTTTACTAGGATTAAATGTCAGGAATTGTGAAAAACTGACTTTAAATGTATTTGGCTAAGGTGTATGTAAACTTCCGACTTCAACTGTAGATGACAGCTCAGAGGTCACAGAGACAATAAGGCTTCAATCTGAACCTTTTATCACATATTATTGTCAGAATAAAAACTCTATACAACATTATGGGTGAGCTCAGAACATTGTTTTCATTTTGAAAAGCTGGCTTTTCACTAGTCACTACAGTGGGTCTTTAAAGGCAAGTACAACAATATATGTGACTGTGGCCCTCAAGGACAGGTTGGGAGCTCTGCACCCCTGGTATTTTTAAACCCAAATAACTGTTTTATTTGGTCAGAGTAGGTCGCTACTTAAAGGGCAATTCCACCACTTTTTAACCTTATTTTCATTCTCTTCAGCACAATAACAGTTCCTATTATGGGGTTCAGTAACTTTCCAACTATCAACAAAAAATGTTTTTGTTCAGAAACAAACTGCTAATTATTGCTCTGTTGCCCAGTGCACCCCAATTCCAAAATTAAATATTGGTGTCGGCTTTCCTGCATGTTTCTCGGGGGGCCCTAGCCCCACTTCAGGAAAATATCTGGGAAAAATTCCCCTAAACATTGTGTTTTTTATGTATATATCATGTCAGTGGAATGGAAAATTGTGTGTGTGTGTGTGTGTGTGTGTGTATATATCCTTGTGCTGACTACAGTATCAGCTAGGTCTAAAAACATTACCTGTATGAACACGGAGGTGCTGTACCAGTGAGGCCTTGAGCCGAGTGCTGTAGTGGCAATGGGGACACTCAAAGGGCTTGTCCCCCTGGTGGATGCCCATGTGGCGACGCATGGTCAGCTTAGTGGAGAACTTCCTGTCATGGCAGGAAACAGGGCTCATTAAGATGAATTTACAACCTGGCCATACTTTCAATAAACTACACGTTATGAAGGCTTTATATGGCGTTCAGAAAGTCTTTATAAGCACTACATCAATGCTTCACAAACTGTATTTACATTAGGCCTTAAAGGTTGTAGTTTGTTTACCGTGGGCTTTCTCTAAGTATGTCTCTCAAACACACACTGTAGAATTTACTTGATATGTGCTGCCATTATACCACCATAAAGTGGCAATGATCCTATGACAGTTTTACACATAGAATTAGGAATTAGAATAATAGAACGGACACAAACCTTCTTATAAACCATGTTTACATCCACAGCTTTTATGTGCGTAAAGTCATACCATATAAAAAATATTAATCATGACAGCTGTGACTGAAACAGGAAGTTTTAGGACAATTTTATAAATGCCTACAGATAACTTGTTCGTTCGACATGGTGGGATCTTTTTGTGTCTGTAAAGTTAATTATGCAAGAAATGTTGGTAGAAATTATTTTATGCGCAAATATTTATATAATAACCGTCATATCGAAGTAAACTTGGAGTCACGCAATGATATGTTGTGTGGTCCTCCCACTACGCCTCGTCGGGAAAGCATGCAGTTTATTAGGATACAGATGAAATAAGTTATGATGAACTTCACAGGGTGGTGAAAGTGCAAGGTGAGGAGCTTGATGGTCCTTTACAATAAATATTGAGGGTCTTATTCCGGTGACATGATGATCGATGCTTGGCAGATAAAAATATTATCGCTCTTATCCATAATAATGTCATCGTGTAGACTAGCCTACCCACGCTGTATCCGTTGTTGGCTAGAGTACACGTGCCAAGACCAGAGTAGGCACATTTGCTATTTAACGCAACAGTTTTTGTGACAAAACTATTGGTAGAGTGGAAAATGCGATGGAAACACATTGAACTTTAGATTTTTATTCGGAACATGAAAACTTAAGTGAATCATATATTTTTGTGTGCACTACGTCATCACAAACTGATTTTTATGCGCACCAAGTCTGTTTGGTGGAAAAAACACTTGTGGGAAAATGCACATATTTTCTTTATGCAGATTTTTTAATATTCACATTAAAATCTGTCGCCAATTGGATGGAAACCTAGCTACTGATGTGGTAAGGTCAATGGAACTCGACCCAAACAAAGATACCGAATCTCCTCACTGCCCCCCAGCAAAATTAGCCTACATTTAAGCTATTGTTTATCTGTGTATTTCACACTATGTTGAGGTAGAAATAATATAATATAAATATAATGCTTGTATGGATGTTATCCCAAATACATGTTCATGTCATTATCAACTGCATTGCAGTTAAAAACAACTGACTACCACCACTGATTTCTGTATGCTATAGCTATGCTACCAGCTTATACAAACGGGAGTTAGCATTTAGCAGTCACTTCTTCTAAAACTGAAAAGGAACAACTTCTAACTGTTATGCAGCAAAAACAGCCAAATATATCCAAATCGGACTTTAGTAATCACATTGTGAGCCTGTTACAACACATCAATACACAGATTTGACGAATATCCACTTTGTTAAAATCAGATTTGTTGAACGTGCACCAATCTGGCATCCTTTTTCTATCCGCCACGGTCTGCGTTCCATTGACCTCTTTACCGCATCAATGATGGTATAAAATGTCAGCCATTTTGGTAAGGGAGTTGTTCAACCATGGCTTGCCAGTGCTGTGCTAAGATATTTTATAAAACAATGAATTTGAAGACTATCTGCACTGTATGTTTGTTAGCTAGCTAGCCAACCAGTTTTAGATGAGCAATTCCATTAATTTTTCAAAATAACTACCAATATGCCAACAATGCAGTCAATCCACAGCTATGCACTGGCTGATATCAGTTGATGATAGGACTTAGACAAGTTGTAAATGCAACAAGTACTGATATTCTGCATGTGGTCCTCTGTAGCTCAGCTGGTAGAGCACGGCGCTTGTAACGCCAAGGTAGTGGGTTCAATCCCCGGGACCACCCATGCACAAAAGAAAATGTATGCACGCATGACTGTAAGTCGCTTTGGATAAAAGCGTCTGCTAAATGGCATATTATTATATTATTATTATTATTATATTGTATCATATAATAACACAAATTGAGACATTTATGGCCTGTTTACATATATTTTAGAGGCTATTTATACAGCAACATTGGTAAAAACCTTTATAAACTGTATTTATAATTATATGACAATATATTTGATTGACAATAATTCTTACACATCTTTTATATATCACATGCCTTACTTTTATTTTCCTGCACAAGTAAAAGCAGGAAATGCATCACCTATGCCTCTACTGCCATTCATTCCAATTAGACTGGTTTGGATTTCTGCCTGACCACAATGGCTGCCATTTTCAGACCATTCTGGAACTTTGAGGGGTATATGACATGCCCTTCTAGTAATTTAATAGGATCTCTATGGTTTTACAGCCCATTTTTAGTAGCAAATGTATTTTGAATGTGTATATGGTACTGAAAACACACAGAAAAGTTAATAAACAAACAAAGCATCTGTAATCCTCATATATTCCACAACAAACTGTACTCTGACCCCTTGTGGTAAAATGTGTTACTGACACTTCTGAGTGACTGTACCTGTTGCAGAGGGCACAGCAGAACTCTTTCCTCCCTCTCCTCCTCAACGATTCCTCCTCTTTCTGCCCTTGGTCCTCTCTGACCTCCTCTCCGTCCCTTCTTCCCCTCATCTGCGTCGGCCTCCACTTCTTCCTCGGTTGGCACCACTTTTCTGGCTCCACTCCTTGCAGGGCTTGTGGGTAATTGCTTTCGTGGGTGAACTTCCTCGAAGCACACCTGTGAGTTGGAGAGGGCAACGTTAAATGGACAATCTGCACTTCAAACTAAGGCTGAACGATTTTGGAAAATAATCTAATTGCGATTTTTTGCCCCCAATATTGCGATTGCGATTTAATATGCGATTTAATTTATTTATCCTTTTTCCCCTACAAAACATAATGAATGATTTAAATATGACCAACACAATAGTATATACATTTAGTGTGAAATGTTCTTTCCCATAGGCTGGGTCTATTTGTTAGAATTAAATTCAAACATGTATGACTTGAAATAAATGACATTTTTATTGAACTGCTCATTACAGAAACATCTGTGGCTTTGCCACTGTGCATTTAAATAATTTAAACAAAGGCATGAACTTTGTAAACACTGTGTGCAAAAGGTACAGTCTTAAGAAAAAAATAATTTTAAATTGTATGTATCTTACTGCTCCCAAGTCAGTAACATTTCACACAACTGAAACAAGGAATTTGCTTTGAAAATATTTTGTAAAATCAAAGTAAATAAAGTTATAAATAAAAAATGAGAAATGCACTTTTAATTTAGACAAACTATTTTTTATAAACGATTTGAATATTATAATATAAAATAGATGAGCCTCACTTATCTCAAGTACACAACAATAACACACCACACAGACTAAAGTTCACTACGAGTATGGCACTGCCAGCCATACTTATCCAACAGTTCTGTTCTCAGTGGCTCACAGGTTTTTTGCTAAGAAAACCAGAATATTGACTTTTTCTGGCTTCAAGGCTGAGCGAGTGCAAGTCACAATATTCCCTCCTGTGCTAAAAAGACGCTCTGAGGGAGCGCTTGTAGCAGGTACACAAAGATACTTGCGTGCCATGGTGCACAACTGTGGGTAGCTGATCTTGTGCACCCTCCACCAAGCCAATGGATCATCTTCTCCATCAATGGTAGGAGTCATCAGGTAATTGTTTATCTCTGCCTCTGCGACATCTTCAAGATTTACAGGCAAAGAAGGAGAGGCTGAACTGGTCTTGAAAAAACTGCCAAGAGACCTCTTCGTCTTTTCCCCCAAGGACTGTGCACTTTGAGGCATCTGAACAGTTTCAGTACGAGACCTCTTCTCCTATTAGATGAAAACAACAGCCATTAGTTTTCCAGTTAGATTTTACAGAAAATTTTTGTTTTTGTGAAATACATAATTATTTACCCAATGATATGTACGTTGTGCCAAGTCTACTATCTCTGTCTTCAGACGAGTCTTGATAGCAGGGATGTTGTCTGTACTGATGTACTGTATTTTGAACCTAGGGTCCAGGAAACAGGCAACATCCAAAAGCTCCTGGATGTTTGGGTCTCCATATTTGTTATTGAGGTATGCTAGGACTTTGGTTTTTATTGATTTAGTCAGGTCAGTGTCCTCAGCATCTTCAGCCAGGACTGATGTGGCAAAAAGGTGGAGAACTGGCTTGAGGTAGGAGATGCTTACATACTCCTCTCCAGAAAGAGCATCAGTAAACTCCAGTAGAGGATGCAGTGCCTTGTGAATCGACTCCAACACGTCAATATCCTGCCAGGTTGGGATAAGGGAGCGTGCATATCGATCTCCAGACAATACCTGAGAAATGGCTTTGGCCTGTTCAAGCACTCTGGCAATCATCATTTCTTTAGAACCCCATCTTGTTGGGCACTCCGTTATGAGGTTGTGCTCAGGGAGTTTGAGCTCTCTCTGTGCCTCCGTCAGGGCTGCTTTCTTCTTCCAACTGTGGGAAAAGTGCCCCACCAGCTTCCTGCACAGTGCTGTTGCCCTTGACACTCTGTCATCTTTGAGTGCATTTTCTAAAAGAAATAAAAAGTAGTGTATTACACACAATTTGAGTTTTGATACAAGGCTCTCACTATTACACACTCAAATTAGCTGTAATTCTGAAATACACACATCCACAACACATCCTCTCTCTCTCTCTCTCAATTCAAAGGGTCTTTATTTGCATGTCAATTCTCTCTCTCTTTCTCTCTCTCTCTCTCTCATAAACACTAAAAAAACATGTAAAAAACAAAAACAAGAAAAGAAAAAAAATGCAGGTGGGCATTCCACCACAGACAGACATATGATATAAGCAAGTAAAATGAATTTACATATTAGAAAAGGAGTGGAAGTATGAATTTATTTAATCCCATCCGATTTATATAATATCATTTATATATATTTGTATATTCAGCTTTACTAATCGACGCATCTCTCTCTCTCGCACTCGCGCACACACACACACACACAAACACACACACACACACACACCACACACACACACACACACACACACACCACACACACACACACACACACACACACACACGATAACTTACCAATGGCAAGATGTAATCTGTGGCCAAAACATTGGAGCCTCGTCCATTCATTAAGCCGCGCAGCAAGCACCATATTCGACGCGTTGTCCGTCGTGATGCAGACGTGATTCTCCTCGTGGAGATCCCAGCTGACAAGCCCTTCTCTCAGGCCGGCTGCAATATTTTCCCCTGTGTGATCGTCTGGGAAGTAGGTAGTTTGTAGGCAGCGAGCTCGGAGGTTGAAATCTTCATCAATAAAATGGACTGTAAGACTCTGGTACGGCTCAGCTGTGCGGCTTGACCACATATCAGTAGTGCTAGCAAAAAACTCCACCGTTTTAAGTTCCGCGGCGACTTTCTCTTTGCACTTTTTGTACAGCTCCGGTATGGCAGTCTGACTGAAGTATGTGCGGGAGGGTATACTGTAACGTTTATCAAGCGTATGTATTAATGCCATGAACCCAGGCTTGGTCACCGTGCTGAGAGGCATCATATCTTTGGCTATGAACTCGGTTATTGTCCGAGTGATTTCTCCGTGCCGTTTTGAATTACGTTCATACGGAGTGACACTTTCGAACATTTCTGTCAGTGATCCCTGTCTTGAGGTATTTGGCTTGTCTCGCGCACTGATGCTCGGCATTTTGGTCATACAACTGTCATGCATTGATTTGTGGTATTTTTTTAAGTGCTGAAACAGGTTTGTAGTGTTACCCCGTGAAGTAGCAATCGGAGCACGGCATGCTCTGCACAACACCTGACGCTGCTCAGCATCTTCTTTTTTAAAACCAAAATAGTTCCACACCACCGACGTGCTGTTCCTCTTCGATATTAACTCTTCGGAGTCTGGAGCTTTTTTGGCCGTTTTTGGGTACCTTCAATTTTGCCCTGATATACTACATAAAGAAATGTTTACCAGACCAATGTTGGGTATCTTTTTTTTCAGCACAACCTCACCTATATGATCTGTTAGTAAGTTTTTCACTTTGACATACTATTTCAACACACTGGACCCAAACACACACAGAAAACACAAAGTCCGTTTAGAAAAAAGATGTTTTTTTTATTGTAAAACCCTCAAACATGGTGAACCAAGCATTTAAAAAGCTTCAAATTGAACCACAAGGTGCAAATATGAACATATAAAAGTATTTTGGTGATATATACAAGCAATAAATAACTATTTACAATAAAAAGTAGGTATAACCACTGGCGTTTTTCTTCTATTCTAACCCTAAACCTTTTTGTGCCACTCCTCAAAACAGTTTCTGTCCAAAATGAAAAAAAAAGCTTCAAATTGAACCACAAAGTGCAAATATGAACATATAAAAGTATTCTTGAGATATATACAAGCAATACACAACTATTTACAAAAAAAGTAGGTATAGCCACTGGCCTTTACCCTATTTGTGCCACTCTTCAAAACAGTTCCTGTCCACAATGACACAGAGAGCCACATCACAGGCCTTGCACTTCCATGGTGTGACAAACCTCTTCTTGTCAACTTGTTTACAGCGTTGACAAACCCTGCGGCCTGCTGTGGCTTTGTCTTTGGCCTCTGCAACATTGGCAATGGCCACAGAAACATGGCTGGTGCTTTTTTGAAGTGGAACCCCTGTCTGGGTCACTCCGCACAGCTGGGCCACAAGTTCTGCCACAAAGTTCTTGTGCGTCATGGGTGTGACCTGTTGGGTCGCACTGATGTCACAGTGCAGGATGTATGCATTTGTTGTTCCCATGTCCAAAAAATGCAGGAAGAGGGTACGGTACCAGCGAGCAGTTCTGCGATGGGTTGAGTAATACTGGAGAAGCTGGTCTGACAGGTCAACCCCTCCCATGTACTTATTGTAGGCCATGATGGGGGTAGGGCAGGGAATGTCTTTTGCTACCCAGCGTCCAGGTCCTTCCTTCACCTTCCTCTTGATTGTCTCGCCCGAAAACGCTGGGTGGATTGTGGAGCACACCGACACCTCCCGCGTATCCATCCACTTCACAAAGACCAGGCGATCCTCTCTGATCCATCTCACAGACCCCCTCTTCGATTTGCTGGTGAGGGCATTTTCTCTGCCACTAGGACACCCTTTTCTGTTGCTTCTGTAGGTCCCACAGGCTCCAAACTTCATACTTCCCAAACTCAGGAACAGTTTTGGGCTGGTGTAGAAATTGTCCATATAAATATGGTATCCTGTACCAAGATGTGATGGCTGAATGAGGTCCATAACAGCATCATATGAAAGTCCATGCACGCTGGGTGTGTGTGCTTTCCCAACATACACGTTGAAGTTTAGAGTGTAGCCATTGTTAGACTCTGCCAACACAAAGAGCTTGATCCCCCATTTGTTAGGCTTGTCCTTCATGTACTGGGTCATGCCAGTTTTGGCTTTTGTAGCCACCATCCTCTCGTCGACTGACAGTTCCTTCTTAGGATGGTAATGAGCCTGGCAGGCAGTGCGAATGTCGTCCATCAGAGGTTTGACCCTGAACAGTTTGTCATGCTGGGGTGTACCTTTGCGCTGGTCATTTATGACATCCTCCTCTGGATCACTTAGGTGGATGTTCCATGAGATGGACCGGAATCTGTCTCTTGGCATGACCTTCGCTGGCAATGAAACAGACAATATGTGGCTTTGTTTCCAGTAGTCCTGGATACTAGGCAGAGTCACCAATGAGGTGTAGATGAGGAGACCCAGAAATCTGTGCAGTTCCTCCACATCAACGTCAGTCCACTGATATTTGCTCCCCTTCTGCTGATTTCTTGCTGCCTGTTTGTTGGTGTTTCTGCAGATTGTCCTCATTGTATCTGCGGCGAAGTAGAGCAGGAAGAGGTCCTTTGGTGTGTGCCCTGAATGCAAATCCACCTGGGCTCCTGGTGGTCTGCGGGGCATGAACCTACTGGCTTGTGGGGCAGTGTCAGGATCAGTCTCTGTTTTCCATGGCTCAGAGCTCTGTTCTGGCTGTGCTGCTGACTGGGCTGGAGATCTTGACCTGGTCTTGGCCTGATCCTTCCTTCCACGCCCCCTCTGTGATGGCCTCCGTCGGCTTGTTGTGGGGGTGGGGGCTGTTGATGGCCCAGGCTGCTCGTCGTCGTCGTCGTCACTATACAAAACAGGTAAACGGATTCAAGATTATTCAAAGTTCAAGATGTTCATTGGCATTTGCACTACAGTGAAGTAGAATAGAATACTATAGTAAGATAAACGAAAGCAATAAAACAAATTCATTTTAGAAAAATGTTTGTCTTCTTACCTCACGTTTTCAGCAACAAAATCAGGGTCCTCGAAGTCATCCTGGCCACTCTCATTGTCTGACGACGAACTTTCCAAAGTTTCTTCATCGCTCATTTGGAATAACAAGTCGACGGCTTGTTCAACGTGAAGTGTGCGCCTCATATTGCTTCACAAAAACGATACTGCTGACAATAAAACTCTTGAAATACTAACAATTGAAATACTAACTCGTGAAAAACTCTCCAAAACTACTCATGAACTGAACTAATTCCTCTCGTTCGTTCTTTCGCAATGGCTAGTTGTCATGGGAATGAATGTTTATATACTCGTGTGCATCCTGAAGAACCGGGTTAGCACAAGCACACGTTTTTTTCCGTTCCTTTTTATCACAAAAGACGACAAAGTTATTATAATAAATGCAAAGCGCTCATAAAAGAGCGCATATTTTGACGCACTTTTTTAATGGAATTGAAATTATCATAACTTTGGTTTTAGTTGGTGTATTTACATGAAACAAACACTCAAAACGTAGCTTCGGGTCTCCATTTCTGCATGAAATCGACGGCAGCCCTCTGCGTCACTTGGTTTGGATGCTGCGCGGTCCTAAAGCCGGCCCGCGATTTGAACGCGCCGAAGCGTTCGCCGACTCGGAAGAGTTAAAGTATCAGCTGTGTCAGTTTCTGACTGTTCCGTCGAGCAAGAGGCCATTGCGCTGGACAGCATGAAAAGTCGCGTCACGTGACCACCTCAAATCGCGCACGTTGCGATTAGAAAATCGCGTTCAGTCAAATCGCGATATTATCGCGAATGCAATTAATCGTTCAGCCCTACTTCAAACAACAACAAATCGGTCACGACGCCATTGTTGTTTTGGTAAACAGCTGAGGGATGGATGGGTTGCAGAAATATAACCACTCTCAAATTCATAGAGAGCCATTAATGCAAGGGCTGACTATCCATGAGATCAAAATGATAGTTTTAACCATTTGAGGCTATAAAGTGTTTGTTCACAATTACATTGTTTACAAATTTTGGTATGTGGTGGGGTATGACAGTTGCTCAGATAATGAGACAAAAGTTATATTCTTCAATAATCAATGGGTATACAGTATATCATTACCAAGTATATTATCAAGTCCAAAATGGTTGTACCAATAGCAGACCCTTTAATGGTCAAAGTCATATGGTTGAAATAATGAACTGACTCAACTGTGTTCAAAGACCAACTTCAGAAAATTCATCAGAATAGATTTCATACAGTAGCTAACAGGAAGGGGCCCAATTCAAATGCTTCCTGAAAGCCATGTGATGGAGCCATTGTGTCTAATCATTGATTACTTCACGGAAAAGAGGAAAGAAGGACGCATTTTTTCGGAATTCAAATAGGGCCTATGTTCAGACCAAACGCTTTTCAATATTTTGGGTGCACACAATGAGTAGGTTGGTTTGTTGCTCTGAGGTTATAGTACAGGAAGGGAACAGGCAAGCTACTTACACAACATGGGTGCTCAGTCCATCCGGGTTTGTCAGTCTGTCCCCAAAGGCTTTGTGCTCTGAGAGAATGTGTTTGTGCAGCTTGTCCCACGACTTATCTGGAAGACAGACCGAGATGGGACAACTGGTACAAATTTGTAGTCTATATTAATGTAAATGTGTTCATCCCTGAATAGGGTTGCAAAACTACCGGTAATTTACCAAAGTTAACGGAATCTTTGGAAATTTGGGTAATTGAAAAACAATATCTAAGTATAAATACAGTACTGTACACACGTAAGGGTAAAACAATACATTGAGCAAGTGTTATTTTTTTTAGATAGAACTGCAAACTTCAAGAAGGACATTCAAGGAGCTGGTCTGATGGGGTGTCATCGGTCCCCGCCCTTTCTTGCGGGAACAATTAGTTTGAGTCGCCAGGCTATGGTTTGGGGGGGTACTCAGATCCAGACTCAATGAGGAGAACAAACTAACGTCTGTGGGCGTGGCGTAGCGTTTAGCCGGAGCAAGGAGTGTGGGTAGCCAGACAACCCAAACCCCACACCAAGCCCAACCCAATGGCCAACCCAATACAGTATCAGTTCTCTACGTTTGACAAGTTGTATGAAGCTGCGACTTAGAGCATTGTTTATTCATACTATGTAATGTATTCTCAGTGAATTTTGTGATGTTTTATTTTTTTTCCCCTGATCAGAGAAATTAGCAATTTAAGTCACTTGCATTTCCCCCATAAATTAAGTGAAAGTACCAGGTACAAGGCTGTTCCTGCTACTCCCCTTTTATCCATTTTGCTGGTCTCTTGTGTTTATCAAATGTATCACAACATTTTCTTAGCAGCTTTGGGTAGAAAACCAATAGATTTTGTGTGGTTATCCTAACAAGTTAAGCCAGTCCCCCATTAAAGCAATTCACTTTGTCCTTCTCTTTTCAACCCAACTCTCCTTGAATAGTCCAACATGTGGCAGCTCTCTGAGAGGGCTTTCCCTATGGTGCAATTATCATATGAAGCCCAGAAATGTGATGGAGAAATGGGCTAGTGACTAAACACAACCCAATACCAATACCATTGCAAAACACTATACAGTGTGTGTTTGGGACTTTTACCATTGAAAACCCTTAGAGACCATAACATTGAAACCATTAGAACTACTGTAGCCTAATAGTTTGCTTGTTCAACAGGAATGGTCTAACAACTAATACCGGCCTTTTTTTAAGGGAATAAACCACACAAAAGGGTTGGTTTCCTGGACATAGATTAAGCCTTAGAGAAGGAAAATTTGAATTGCTTAATGAGGACTGGCTTGAATTGTGTCACAATTTATTTTCATAATGCGAAAAGCTATTGGTTTTCTACCCAAAGTTGGAAAGAAAATGTTGTCATACATTTAATAACCACAAGAAACCATGGATAAAAGGGTGTGGCAATAGCAAGAACAGCAGCATCTAGTGGGCAAAATCTGGTACTTTCACACCTATTTATGGGGGAAAAATGCAAGCGACTTCAATGAATAATTTCTCTGAACAGGGGCAAAAACCATCACCAAATTCACATAGAATAAAATACACAGTATGTATAAACAATACTGCAACCCGCAGCTTCATACTACTTGTCAAACATAGAGAACTGATACTGTATACTGGCCGTTGGGGTGGGCTTGGTATGGGGTGTGAGGGGGTCCGTGGGTGGCTGTAAAAAAAAATATATATATATATTCCTTATGTCTTACTCATTGTTAGGATTAAGTTTTGTCCAAATCAGATGTTAAGTACTATATTTATTGAATGTTATATGAATCCTATAAATTAAAATGGCCAATTTGGGTGCAATCAGTTAGCTTAATTTCTCAGAGATCAAATTATATTTTAACAAAATAATATTGCAGAAATGCTTATCTTATTTGTTTCTAATTCCAGAAACAATTCCAGAACAATCTGAGATGGTGGGTGTCAAAATCCTCTCGTGTTTTTTGAGGTGGAATGACCCCAGAGATAATTACAGACACCTGTGATAATCTGAAGTACCCAAAAAGGCCACCAGATGTCTCCTGATAAAATAAACTTGACAGTTACCAAATTTGGGTAGTTTACTGGTAATATACCCTCCCTTTGCAACTCTATCCCTGAACAATTTCAATGTTAGGTGGAATATAGACAGTGGGGTAAAATTGGAATAAACACTGGAACAGGCCCTCACCACTGTAGTCGCAGTGCAGGCACGTGAAGCATTCTTGAGGACTCCGCCGTTGGCTGTGGTGCCGCCGCTCATGGGCATCCCGGGACTTCACACTCCGGAACTTCCGGAGACAAACCTGGCAGCCATGGGGCCTGGAGCCCCTCTCCTTCTCTCTTTCTCCCCGCCGCATCTTCTTCCCGTGGGCCCTCCAGTGGCGCTCCATCTCCCCCCACCCGGCCGACGTCCAGCCGCACTGAAGGCACTTGAAGCCCCTGTCCCCGTTGTGGCATTTAAGGTGGACCTCAAGCAAGTGTCTAGAGGTCAGGGAGGCGCGGCAGAGGACACAGGACAGTGACCTCCGCTGCTTGGGGCCATGAGGAGGAGGGGACTGCTGCCCCTGACTCTGGGGCATTTTGTCATCCATCTTGTCATCCAGGGAGGTGTCCGACTCCAAGCCCTCTTGCCCGATGGGAGTTGAGGGAAGCTGGGTATCCGCTCGGCCTGAGAGGCCCTTGTTTGCAGTGGAGATGCGACAGAGGCCCAGGGTCATGAGGTGAGCTGACTGGGCCATTTCCTCATCCTTGGCCTCGTTCACCACCACCGAGCCTATTGGACACGACAGGTTGACGGAGCCGGCAGCGTCCAATCGGAACACGCTCTCCTCTTCGTCCTCCTCACCATGTCTCTCATCCTCCTCAAACAAAGTGCTCACCTGTATAGGACCAGAGCAGGATCAACAATTACTGGAAATTACTAGTCCACCTTTCTATTCTATAGTGACTAATCCACTCTTGACTGGAACTTTCACTGCATCTAAAACGCACATTTTCCCCCCTAGGAAAACTCCCCTCTTACCTCACAGGTCTGTGCAACATGGAGGCTCCCATCCGAGTTGGAGCTCAGGGCCATGTCACATGACCGGGGACTGATATTGGGCAGCATACCATACATGGGCAGCAGGAAGGACATGCGCTCCAAGCCCATATGATCCATCTGGTCATCATCAGCATCCTTTGAGCCAGAATGGAGGTCATCCTCCAGGTTGTAGCCTGAGGAGCCATTTTGGTCCAGTTCATCATCGTCGTCTCTGTCAACTCCCACCCCTACCTCAAGGCCATCATCCTTCTCAAGACAGGGAAGACCAGGGCAGGAGGAGGCTCCTAAATCGTGCCTCTCCAGTACATGTGTATGGATAATGCCTTTTAGGCCACTGGTGAACTGGCACACTCTGCAGCGGTACACTTCTACCAGGAAGGCTTCGACTAAGGAGGCCACTTGGGCCTCCAACCCCTTAGCAGTGACACAGTACAGGCTGGAGGTGACCGTCTCTTCTGGAAGGCGTAGTGTGACCGGCCTGATGTCCTGGAAGTTATCATTGACTGGACTCATCATCTGGGTTCAGCTAGCATGGGGAGAAAGAGGGATTGCATGAGATTGCCATAACTCAAATGTTGGGGATGCAACATTAGCTTCGTTTGAACTACACTTGTCCTAGCCATACTCCGATTAAGCAAGATATTCTGTATTCAAGAGACATAATGAATAGAGAATATCTTGCTTAGTGTCTAACGTTACACTTGTTGACCATGCATAACAATAAGAATAATTGAGTCATAGCACTGCAAGGCAAGCTGGCTAGCTGTGGAAAATGCATGCATGCAAAACTGAAATCTCCAATAAATACTAACACATGCACGTAGGTAGATATTGAAGAACACATACTGAATGTGCTGAAATATGCAACGTTTCTACTTACCACGATAGCTAGCTAGCTAGCGTTCGTTACATTTGGTAACATGGAATCGCTCTTAATGAAACTTGTCCCGTCACCACAAAACCAATTCCAGGTAGCTAGCTAGCTAACGTTACCCAGACCTACAGTACATAGATAGACATATACGACAATAATGTCACATTTTTATCAGCGATGAGTTTATGCAATATGAAATGTAAACACGTCCGCAACGAATTGGATCCAAGAATGACAATGAGCCAACCTACTGACTTTTTTAGGGACCACTGGCAATGGAATGGTTCGCTTCTATGCAGTAAATAACATATTGTCTTATTGTCTTATAATTAAATAATAGTGTGTAACATCAAAATATAGGCCCAACGACGATTCATTATTTCAAAATCTCTTATATTGGGGATACAGACAAAACGCAAAATGGTCATAACTTTACCGACAGTGCCTTGGCTTGTATTCCTATCCATTGCGCATGTCCAAGGTAAACAATGAAAATGGCTGCCATGGGTTTCATAACTGGTGACAGCGAGAGAAAACAACTGTAAGAAATGTTTAAAATGGTGTTTTAGGCAAGATGTATAGTTGTCACGATGGCTTATTCTGCTTGTGTTCATAACTAAAGTTAATGTAAAAAATATATATATGTATGTATCGGCGTCGAAGCGCCGTTAGCGCTAGACAGGCTGTTTCAGTAGTAGCTAGAAGAAATCCCCCGTCTGTAAGTTAACCTAGCTAGTTAACGTTATTTAGCTTGCTAGCTAACGTTATTTAGCTATCTTACAAACCAATGTCATAGTTATGGAGCAATACTGGACAATGTTATACTTATTGAATCGGGTGTGCTTGTTCAAGACTAGAACACAATTTTGAAACGACTGGGGGTCCCAAAGGAAAGGTCTGAGAAACACTCAAGTTGCACCACTAACATTAGTAGTTGTGGAATAAACCAGCAATAGTTGTCAAATGAACCAATTACAATAGACCTTTTCAGTTGACTAATCATTACATTACCCTTTCCTATATATTTTTTGTTCGCAGGGGAGAAGAAGCAGAGAGCTCAGAGAGGAGTGGCAATGAAGAGGAAAACGAGGACCTGTCAGTTGAAGAGGAGGAAGAAGGAAGTGCCGGGAAGGCCGAAGCCAGTTCCTTGAAGCTCAGCGTCGCCGTGAGCTCGGCCAAGGCCAAGAAGAAGAAACACAAGCACCGCAGCAAATACAAGCGACACAAGCACTCCTCCCCCGAGGACAAGGAGCGGCGCCACAAGCACCGACACAAGCACCGGCACAAGCGTAAAGACAACCCTTCGACCGATGTCTTCCCAAACTGTGGCGATGACAACACTTCCCTGTACTCCTCCTCCTCTGCCAAGCAGCCAAGACTGGAAGATGACGAGATGGCGTTTCTGGAGAAACAGAGGGCCCTGATCCAAGCTGAGCTAGACGGTGAACTGACTGAGGGGGGCAGGGGGGTACAGTCGGGCATGGGGCTCATACTCCAGCGCTACCACTCTGGGGAGGAGGAGGATGGGGAGATTCAGGTGGAAAGGGAGTGCAACGGGCTGCACTGGCATATAGGGGCAACAGGTCCTGGGGCCGGCTCAGGCTCACAGACCGCTAAGGACACCGGTAGAGTACGGCGAGAGTCGACAGACGCCGGAAAAGCTAAGCAGAGCAATCCCAATAAAAATGCCAGGAAGAGCAGGACAGACGGGAAGACCAAGGATCGGATGAGAGGACGGAGCACGTCCAGGGATAGAGACAGCAGAAGACATTCCAGGAGTGCAGAGTGCTTCAGGTCTGCTCCTGGCACTAGCAAGCAGCCTTCCCCACCGGCTCAGAGCAGAGGAGCCCAAAACCAGGAGGCCCAGCGGCAGCACCCGCAAGTCACCCGAGCACTCCCAGGACTACAAGGTCAGGTGGCCAGATACGGAAGGGGACAAGGACAAGAAGGTGACCAAGTCCCCCGCCAAGGACGCTTCCTCTGGGAAGGAGAACCACTCTCCTGGCCTGCGAGGGAGGCCGTCAGGCCCCGCCCTCCAGCTGCAGCGCAGCACGTCCCCATCACAGCGTCAGGACTCCCTGGGCTCATCCTCAGGCCCCCAAGCAGCCGAGCGAAGGGCCAGGTCACCGCCACCACCCAGAGGGGGCCACCCACGCTCCCCGGAGAGTCGAAGGAGAGAGATGGACCGACTGAGACTCTCACCTGGCAGGTCAGAACATTGTTCGGCCAAATGTCAATTCCAAACACACACACATCCATTTGTGTTCAGTACAGATAAACAGGTGCTATTGTTTTCGAGGAGATGTATCCTCTCACAACCAGGTACAGGGTCCACAAATTAATTTACCGGTAAAGTATTGTGAAAAAAACATTAGCTCCGGTGTTGTAACTCTCCTCCCGGGATAGGCTATGAGCATTGGGATGGGAAGCCCTGGGGTATATTAATTAGTGCACACTGTAGCAACAGACATGTTTTGCAACAGAAAACATTTAGCAATGAAAAGTAGCGTTTCTTATCAGGCAAGTTCAGGTGAGACCTCCCCATTTCGTCCGGTTGCTTCCATTCGGTTTCTAGTGAATACACCTCTAGTAATGTGGGGGGAGGGGGATACTTGCAATATCACAGTTATTGCAAGTAGACCCTTGACAGCTATCAGCAGAAACAGTGCCAGTAAGAAAAAAACAAGTGCAGATGTTAGTGCAAGAAAGACAAGTACTTCATTGCCATATGGGAGGTAGCGCTGTACATGTCGTCATGCCGCAAAATTCCAAACCAAACATAGTCCAGTGTACATCATCCCCACATTGAATCCTGTCCAAATTCAATCAGACCCACTTTAGGTAATGCATGGATAACATTGAATGTGTAACCCCTTGTCCTGTTGTCACGTGATCTTCAGGATGTGGAGCCAGGATGAGGCAGGGGTCCGCAGGGACGCCAGCCCGGCCCTAGGCGCCCGGCGACGGTTCAGCCGCTCACCTTTCAGGCGGAGATCTCGCTCTCCCAGGAGACGCAGCAGGTCCCCATTCAGGAGGAGGTGGGTGGAGAACAGGTTCAAAAGTGTTTTTTTAGTGTCCACATAGGTGCATGTCTCATTATCTGTATAACCCCTACCTGTGTTATGTATTTGAGTGTAAAACTACAGATAGGTCACTCTAGTCCTATTCTCTGTTCAATGAAGATCTGCTTACACTGAAATGTCATTCTTTATATTCATCTTTAAATACAATAAAAAATTTTATAATGGAGAGAGTGTTGCACCTCACCTATTTTGGGGTTGTGAAAGTTTTGGGTTACGATAGTTCTATTATAAGGTATTTTGTTATTCTTCAAGATTCAGTGGTAATAGCTATATCATTAATGGAAATGACTGTTGAACAGCAGGAAGTCTTCCATGTTGCACCTGTAAGATGCTCAGGCGTTTGTTTTTCTTGGCTCTTTTCCATAGGTCGTTGGATCGGGACAGGATGGGACGGAGGCCGCGGTGGCGTTACAGATCCCAGGAGAGGAGATGGAGCCGGGACAGAGAGGACAAGTTCAAGGGCAGCCTCTCGGAGGGAATGAGGGCCGACAAGGAGGACTCTGAAGATGAAGTGTAGGCAGAGTGTAGTCCAGTGCACTAAGGAATTTTAGTTGCTTATACCCTATGAAAGTGATGTCATTCTGCGTCATACTTCCGGGTCATGTCCCCATATCTTTTAAATGGGCTTGACGATTATATCATCAAATTAGTGGAAACTTAGTCTTTAAGGTATTATAAAATTATATTTGTGTTACTTCTGTCAGATGCCTTTTATAAGTTTTGTCTTGAAAACCATTCAAAAAGCCTACAAAAGTTAAAAAACTACAAGGTTTCTTCCTGGAAAATGACAGATCACTTTAATAGGGTATTGCTTACCTCAGATTTTGGCTTAAGTGTTGACTGTATGGTTCATACACATGATTCAACATTAATCCATTTCAGTGTCATTAAACCACACCATTTTGGTTTTAGGGCAGGCTAACAAGTTTTGGTAATATAAGCTTTTGTTCATGTGTGTGGGGAGGATGACCACATTGTATGTATGTGTTGAGAGTTGACGTGGTGTTTCCTGTCCAGGGTGGAAGATTACGATGTGGATGAGGAGGACGAGGAAGCTCTCATTGAACAGAGGAGGCTACAGCGCCTGGCCATCGTCCAGGTGGGTGATAAGACCTCCATAACATCATCATCATCCTTGCTGCACAGACCTTACTTTAAACAGATCCAGAAACAGCCATTTAATATGCCATTTACCCTCTATTATTGGCTATTGTCATACACTGCATGCACACATGGCTCACACAGGTGTTTGATTGTTAGTTCATCGTGTGTGTGTACGTGTTTGCGTGCCTGTGCTTGTTATTCATGCTTACATTGTGTGTGTATCTGTGTTCCCGTGAACAGAAGTACAAGGGAGGGAGGGTGGATAGTAACATGTCGGAGCCCGGCAGCCCCCTGAGCAGCCCGCGCAGCCGCTCGCCCTCGCCAGACGACATCTTGGAGCGTGTGGCGGCCGACGTCAAAGAGTACGAGCGGGAAAACGTGGACACCTTTGAAGAAAACATCAAGGCCAAGCACAACCTCATAGAACAGGAGAAAGACGGTACACTGGTGTGTGTGTGGGTTCCTCAAACCTGTGGCAAACTAAGACATATGAAATACTTTCAGATACTTGAGCCACGTTTGATTTAGTTTGCTCAGTACATTTACACAAGTATGTATTGAAAGTATTTGACATATGCATTTGACCCAGGTGCGTGTGCGTGTTTGTGTGTCATGCTGATAGAAGCTCATGCTGGTACATGAATCAGTAGTGGGGATAGAAAAATAATTTGTCTTATTTTGCATGGCTTCAGACTAATACTATTGATGGGGATCGAGTTAGAAATGTAGTTCCAAAGTCCATTGCTCATTATGTCAAATCCTAATGTACACTATGAATTCTTCTTAATAAATCAAAATGCTTTTACAGTTTTAATAATAACTTATAACTGTACTCCCTTTCCCTTTCTATCCTAGAAGGAACCAACCCCCAAAAAACATCCGCCCCTGATATGTTCACCGAATCGGATGACATGTTCGCCGCCTACGATGTGAGTACTCCTCCTGTTGCTATGATTCCATTGCGTTGTTCCGATTCTGACCACCATGACGTGTACGAGCCTTCAACTTTTAAATGAAGTTGTCTATGGAATAGGATCCCAGCAGATAGAGTTGCACAGTGTGGTGTCCGGGTCGCCTTTGTATTACTGTCCAAACAAGCTTCTGTCAGTGGGTAACTGTAAACCGTGAAGCGTTTTCTCTGGTGACTTTTCTGTGAGAACTGCAAGTTCGATTCAGAGTCTGACTTTCACGTAAATCATTAACTGAGGTCAGTGGGGAACTTGCACAAAAGATTGGCACGTCGGTCTCAAGACAGAATATCACCTCAAGTGGCTGAATAGGTTTTGTATTGCAGCCTGACAGTCAGACCTGGGTTCAAATAGTATTACACTGAACAAAAATATAAATGCAACATGTAAAGTGTTGGTCCCATGTTTCATGAGCTGAAATAAAAAATCCCAGAAATTCTTCAGACGCACAAAAAGCTTATTGCTCTCCAATTTTATGCACAAATTTGTTTACATCCCTGTTAGTGAGCATTTCTCATTTGCCAAGATAATCCATCCACCTGACAGGTGTGGCATATCAAGAAGCTGATTAAATGGCATGATCATTACACAGGTTTACCTTGTGCTGGGGATAATAAAAGGCCACTCTAAAATGTGCAGTTTTGTCACAACATAATGCCACAGATGTCTCAAGTTTTGAGTGAACGTGCAATTGGCATGCTGACTGCAGGAATGTCCACCAGAGCTTTTGCCAGAGAATTGAATGTTAATTTCTCTAGAATTGGGCAGTACATCCAACTGGCCTCACAACCACAGACCACGTAACCACGCCAGCCCAGGACCTCCACATCCGGTTTCTTCACCTGCGGGATCATCTGTAATAAAGCCCTTTTGTTGGGAAAAACTCATTCTGATTGGCTGGGCCTGGCTCTCCAGTGGGTGGGCCTGGCTGCCAAGTGGGTGGGCCTGGCTGCCAATTGGGTGGGCCTATGCACTCCAAGGCCCACCCATGGCTGCACCCCTGCCCAGTCATGTGAAATCCATAGATTTAGGACCTAATTAATTAATTTCAATTGACTGATTTCCTTATATGAACTGTAACTGAGTAAAATCTTTGAAATGGTTATTCTATGAGTGTTTGATTGAGCCTGCTTGTGGCGCCAGATGGATGGGATTTGCGCTTTTGGGACTATTCATTTGGTTCCATTGCGCCAGGCAAACTCAATCAAGCACAATTAATAAAGATAACTTATTACTTGAAAGGAGAAGAGAAAAAAACGTTGAAAAACCATTGTTTTTAAAAAACTAATACTAAGTGATTTGTGGTCACTGCAGAGTGCAAGGCTTCGAGCAGCAGGCATCGGGAAGGACTTTAAGGAGAACCCCAACCTCCGAGACAACTGGACAGATGCAGAGGGATACTACCGTAAGTCATAAAGCTTCTTCCTTCCTTTGTTCCTTCAGTTGTTTGTTTGATTGTTAATTCATTAATCACTCAGAGTGAAATGTTTTGGTTAGATCTATTCTGTTGTACGTCTGCATTTGTGCACAATTGTGCATTTGTAACCTACATTATCCGTCAAAATTGTTAGAATAGAAGGTCCCCTATTCATAAGCAGTTAGCTAATACGTTCTGTCTTTTGATGTTTGACAGGACTCAATATCGGGGAGATACTGGACAAGCGGTACAGCGTGTATGGCTACACGGGCCAGGGGGTGTTCAGCAACGTCATCCGCGCCCGAGACGTGGCCCGTGCCAGCCAAGAGGTGGCCATCAAGATCATTCGGAACAACGAGCTCATGTGAGTGCTATGCCTTTGTTACATGGAAGAGGCTTGTATTTTATATTTTGACAGGGGTAGCCACCTTCCTCCTGGAGGGATAGGTGTGTAGGCTTTTGTTCTATCCAGGCTCTAACACACCGGATTCCACTAACCTCTACTTCATTAGCTGAATCGGGTGTGTCAGAGCACGGCTGGAACAAAAGCCTGGGATGTATTCATTAGGCTGATTCCGTTGCAAAACGTTTCATCTGTTGCAAAATGCTTTGCAACGGAAAACGTTTACTCCAAACGGAAAACGTTTTCCAATGAAAACGAGAGTTTCTATTGGACAAATTCATGTAGGTCCCTCCCCGTTTCGTTCCGTTTATTTATGTTTGGCTCCTAGAGTAAATGGTAAACTGTTTCCGTTGCGAAATGTTTTGCAACAGACTAATGAGTACACCCAGTAGCTCTCCAGGGGGACCTGTCCTACTGGGACACCAGTGTGTCCGTAACTTGACACTCATCCCAGTGATCTCTCTGTCCCAACAGGCAGAAGACTGGGCTGAAGGAGCTGGAGTTCCTTAAGAAGCTCAACAATGCTGACCCAGACGACAAGTTCCACTGTCTGCGCCTCTTCCGACACTTCTACCACAAGCAGCACCTCTGCCTGGTCTTCGAGCCTCTCAGGTACACCAACAAGGCCTCTGGCACCCATAGATTGAGTACAGTGTTTCCCCTTTCACTGTAAAGGCAGTAGGGCTGACCCCATTTAGTTGAGTGGTCGATAGGCTGTTGGTTGACCGAGATTTCTTTAGTCGAGCAATAGCATGGTGTACAAGACACCTATCTGATTCGCGCCTGTCTGAGTGGACTAATCCATTGTAGGTGCCGTGGGGATGGCACAGTCCATCACTCTAAGACATGTGCTACTGAAATTATATATGGTTATATTATGTAAGAACAATGGTGCAACACTAATAAAAATTATATTGTTTTATAACAAATGCGCTTTTCCCCGCGTTGGATAGCTGTCCGGTTCTGAACGCATCAGTGCGCTGTTGAATTGGCGCCTTTTCCTAGACCATGTTGCTATGTGCATAATAGCAGAGTTAACCAGCATATTGGTGTTGAGGACAATGCAGTAGAGGCAGCAGTGGAGTTAGGTGATGAGAAAACAGCCCTTGCCTTAATTGTCTAAGAAAAGTGAGGAGAGAGGAAACCCCAACTTAATTAGGTCTATAATCAATAGCCTAACTGTTAAATGTGCCTGGCTTTATAAATCATTCATATATACAGTGTCTACAGAAATAAGACAGATCCTGCTTGTGTTGCCTGTTTGAGTGTTTGTTTAATAGCCTACTGATTCCGTGAGCACCAAGCCTCACGCAACCACAACATGTCGGATGAACAAGTTCACACATTCGGCTGTGTTTAATCTTTGCTATGCTGTAGTAAAGGCTTCACACTGGGTTTTTTTCAATAGATCAGCCTCTGGTATTATATATAATTTATTCACACTGTTCCAAATTGTCAGAAAAAATAATAATAATAATAATAATAGCCCTCCGTTTTCTCGATCTCCTTCTTGTTATTATTATTATTATGATATCATTATAATAATAAGTAATGTCATTATCATTAGTAGGCATAGTATAGCAGCCTTGTATAACCACCATGGAGTTGTAGGCCTAAAGGCGTCAGCATGCTTCAGTTCGGCTGGTGGCTAGGCGTACCGAACGAGTGTGCTCGCAAAAAAAGCGGAAATAGTACTGTTTGTCCATTTTGAAACGCCGTAGCCAGTATAAACGTCCTCAAAATGGTCAGAATTAATCCAAGATACTTAAGAAATCTGTCATAAATTGACGTTTTTGCCAAGGAGATCTTAGTTGCACAATTTTACATCCTAATTAAGATGTTTGGTGCAGTATTTCTAAATGAAATAATTTGCATGAAAATGAACAGACTGAAGAATCCCGACTGTTGACCAATCACCGACAAAGGGGCATAGACTTCGGCTACCGACTTCGGCTTGTGTCCGAACAACAAAGTCCAAAACAAACAAAAACGTCACAAAATGTTGTCATAATATATGCACAAACTCTTCCGAACTGTTTCGTCCTGTTTAGTCTTAAAACCTTAACTTACTTAGGCCTATATTTCAATACTTATATAGGCTACTGTATCAATCAATCATTCATTCGTTCATGTCATCACACAGCAGACGAGTCATTTGTGATTTGAAATGCAATCAAGCATTTTAGTTTAAAAATAACAATGCAAACCTTTAATAATTAGCGTAAACAATAAATAAACCGTTCCATTTCGGAAATTCCATTCACAAATGAATCTTTGCTGTAATAAAGGCTTTACAAAAAAACTTTACAACAGACTCTCTGGTACGCTTATAATTTCTTTAGTGTTGTTTACATTGTTCCAAATGGTCAGAAAAATTATATTGTAATCTAACAACACCGTTTTTGCACACATAATATGCGTGCTCCTTACCTTATTTTTCTTGATCTCCAGTATTTTCCACAACTAGTCAAATTTATTCCACACATCTGACTTCCCCTTTACCTCCTGAGCAACCAGTAAACATTCCCCGTTTCTAGTTTATTTGTCACGTCCTCTGCATTTATTTTGCTGTCACATGTGTTTGGAGTTTGTTATAATGTGATTTATTAATGTGATTATATGCTATAAATCAGGCCCTATTGGTCACGTGCATGTGATGCATACATGTGTTACTTAAAGAGAGCAAAGGTTGAGGGAATAGGGAATGTTTTCCCTAAACAAATTAGGGATTTCGGTAACAGAACTTTTCAGTCAAATGGCTGTAGTTATGTTGCTGCTTCAGCAACACAGACAGCGCGATAAACACTGTTGATGTTCTGTGGTGGTCGCTGCAGCAGGGAGGAGAGACAGACAATGGGTGCTAGTCACAGTAACTTGCTGTAAAGAGAATAATTACACAGCTCAGCAATTCTGAGCCCGGCCCGGCACAATCAAATAAATTGCGGTTGGACTCCCTCTAGTCATTTGTGTGTCTTAATTATTTCATCAAACAGTGCGCTTAAAGCATCAGACAAGCTCCGTGCATATAGTTGATTTGATTAAAATAAAAAGAATGTGTCTATACAGTGCATTCGGAAAGTATTCAGATCTCTTGACTTTTTCCACATTTTGTTACGTTAAATCCATTCTAAAATGGATTAAATAAATAAAAATCTTCATCAATCTACACACACTACTCCATTATGACAAAGTGAAAACAGCTTTTTAGAAATGTATTTAAAATGTATAAAAAACATAAATACCTTATCGATCGATAACTCTTCAGACCCTTTGCTATGAGACTCGAAATTAAGCTCAGGTGCATCCTGTTTCCATTGATCATCCTTTAGATGTTTCTACAACTTGATTGGAGTACCCCTGTGGTAAATTCAATTGATTGGACATTATTTGGAAAGGCACATACCTGTCTATATAAGGTCCCAAAGTTGACAGTGCATGTCAGAGCAAAAACCAAGTCCTGAGGTCAAAGGAATTGTCTGTAGAGCTCCGAGAAAGGATTGTGTCGAGGTACAGATCTGGGGAAGGGTACCAAAAAATTGCTGCAGCATTGAAATTCCCCAAGAATACAGTGACCTCCATCATTCTTCAATGGAAGAAGTTTGGAACCAGCAAGACTCTTCCTAGAGCTGGCCACCTGGCCAAACTGAGCAATCGAGGAAGAAGGGCCTTGGTCAGGGAGGTGACCAAGAACCCGATGGTCACTCTGACAGAGCTCCAGAGTTCCTCTATGAAGATGGGAGAACCTTCCAGAAGGACAACAATCTCTGCAGCACTCCACCAATCAGGCCTTTATGGTAGAGTGGCCAGACGGAAGCCACTCCTCAGTAAAAGTCACATGACAGCCCGCTTGGAGTTTGCCAAAAGGCACCAAAAGGACTCTCAGACCATGAGAAACAAGATTCTCTGGTCTGGTCTTATTGATGCAAAGATGCTGTTTGACGTCTGAGAAAGTCTGCTGCTCTCTGTCCTATGTTTCACAGCTGATTCGATATTTTCTTGTTCTAACCATGGTCTCAATTATTTTTAACCTATGCACAAGCATGTACAGATAGACACGTTCAAAGCTCTCCCTCGCCCTCCATTTGGCAAATCTGACCATAATTATATCCTCCTGATTCCTGCTTACAAGCAAAAACTATAGCAGGAAGCACTAGTGACTCGGTCAATAAAAAAGTGGTCAGATGAAGCAGATGCTAAACTACAGGACTGTTTTTCTAGCACAGACTGGAATATATTCCGGGATTCTTCTGATGGCATTGAGGAGTACACCACATCAGTCACTGGCTTCATCAATAAGTGCATCGACGACGTCGTCCCCACAGTGACTGTACGTACATACCCCAACCAGAAGCCATGGATTACAGGCGACATCCGCACTGAGCTAAAGTTGTAGAGCTGCCGCTTTCAAGGAGCGGGACTGTAACCCGGAAGCTTGTAAGAAATCCCGCTATGCCCTCTGACGAACCATCAAACAGATCAAATCGTACTACACCGGCTCCGACGCTCGTCGGATGTAGCAGGGCTTGCAAACTATTACAGACTACAAAGGGAAGCGCAGCCGCGAGCTGCCCAGTGACACAAGCCTACCAGACGAGCTAAATTACTTCCATGCTCGCTTCGTGGCAAGTAATACTGAAACATGCATGAGTGCATCAGCTGTTCCAGACGACTGTGTGATCACGCTCTCCGTAGCCGATGTGAGTAAGACCTTTAAACAGGTCAACATTCACAATGCCGCAGGGCCAGACAGATTACCAGGACGTGTACTCCGAGCATGCGCTGACCAATTGGCAAGTGTCTTCACTGACATTTTCAAGCTCTCCCTGACTGAGTCTGTAATCCCAACATGTTTCAAGCAGACCACCATAGTCCCTGTGCCCAAGAACACTAAGGTAACCTGCCTAAATGACTACCGACCCGTAGCACTCACGTCTGTAGCCATGAAGTGCTTTGAAAGGCTGGTCATGGCTCACATCAACACCATTATCCCAGAAACCCTAGACCCACTTCAATTTGCATACCGCCCCAACAGATCCACAGATGATGCAATCTCTATTTGCGCTCCACACTGCCCTTTCGCACCTGGACAAAAGGAACACCTATGTGAGAATGCTATTTATTGACTACAGCTCAGCGTTCAACACCATAGTGGCCTCGAAGCTCATCACTAAGCTAATGACCCTGGGACTAAACATCTCCCTCAATAACCGGATCCTGGACTTCCTGACGGTCCGCCCTCAGGTGGTAAGGGTAGGTAACAACACATCTGCCATGCTGATCGTCAACACGGAGGCCCCTCAGGGGTGCGTGCTCAGTCCCCTCCTGTACTCCCTGTTCACTCATGACTGCATGGCCTTGCACGACTCCAACACCATCATTAAGTTTGCCAATGACACAAGAGTGGTAGGCCTGATCACCGACAACGACGAGACAGCTTATAGGGAGGAGGTCAGAGACCTGGCCGTGTGGTGCCAGGACAACAACCTCTCCCTCAACGTGATCAAGACAAAGGCGATGATTGTGGACTACAGGAAAAAGAAGAGGACTGAGCACGCCCCCATTCTCATCGACAGGGCTGTAGTGGAGCAGGTTGAGAGCTTAAAGTTCCTTGGTGTCCACATCACCAACAAACTAACATGGTCCAAGCACACCAAGGCAGTCGTGAAGAGGGCACGACAAAACCTATTCCGAGACTGAAAAGATTTGGCATGGGTCCTCAGATCCTCAAAAGGTTCTACAGCTGTACCATCGAGAGCATCCTGACTGGTTGGATCACTGCCTGGTATGCCAACTGCTGGGCTTCCGACCGCAAGGCACTACAGAGGGTAGTGCGTACGGCCCAGTACATAACTGGGGCCAAGCTTCCTGCCATCTAGGACCTCTATACCAGGCGGTGTCAGAGGAAGGCCCTAGAAATTGTCAAAGACCCTAGTCATAGACTGTTCTTTCTGCTACCGCACGGCAAGCAGTACCAGAGCGCCAAGTCTAAGTCCAAGAGGCTTCTATAAACAGCTTCTACTCCCAAGCCATAAGACTCCTGAACATCTAATCAAATTGGCTACCCAGACTATTTGCATTGCACCTCCCCCCTATTTTGTTGCATTACAACCTGTAATTTAAATGGATTTTTATTTGGATTTCATGTAATGGACATACACAAAATCGACAGACCAAAAAATAACTTGTTTCAAAAAATTCTAACAAATAACGGAAAAGTGGTGCGTGCATATGTATTCACCCCCTTTGCTATGAAGCCCCTGAATAAGAGCTGGTGCAACCAATTACCTTCAGAAGTCACATAATTAGTTAAATATAGTCCACCTGTGTGCAATCTAAGTGTCACATGATCTGTCACATGATCTCAGTATATATACACTTGTCCTGAAAGGCCCCAGAGTCTGCAACACCACTAAGCAACCAAGGAGCTCTCCAAACGTGCCAGGGACAAAGTTGTGGAGAAGTACAGATCAGGGTTGGGTTATAAAAAAATATCTGAAACTTTGAACATCCCACGGAGCACAGTTAAATCCAAACATTCAAAGTGCCACAGCGGAGATAGGAGTATCTGTCCATAGGACCACTTTAAGCCATACACTACACAGAAATTGCCTTTACGGAAGAGTGGCCAGAAAAAAGCCATTGCTTAAAGAAAGAAAATAAGCTAACGCGTTTGGTGTTCACCAAAAGGCATGTGGGAGACTCCCCAAACATATGGAAGTAGGTACTCTAGTCAGATGAGACTAAGATTGACCTTTTTGGCCATCAATGAAAATTATTTGTCTGGTGCAAACCCAACACCTCTCATCACCCCGAGAACACCATCCCCACAGTGAAGCATGGTGGTGGCAGCATCATGCTGTGGGGATATTTTTCATCGGCAGGGACTGGGAAACTGGTCAGAATTGAAGGAATGATGGATGGCGCTACATACAGGGACATTTTTGAGGGAAACCTGTTTCAGTCTTCCAGAGATTTGAGACTGGGACAGAGGTTCACCTTCCAGCGGGACAATGACCCTAAGCATACTGCTAAAGCAACACTCTAGTGGTTTAAGGGGAAACATTTAAATGTCTTGGAATGGCCTAGTCAAAGCCCAGACCTCAATCCAATTGAGAATCTTTGGTATGACTTCAAGATTGCCTTGAAGAATGGGCAAAAGTCCCAGTGGCTAGATGTGCCAAGCTTATAGAGACATACCCCAAGAGACTTGCAGCTGTAATTGCTGCAATAGGTGGCTCTACAAAGTATTGACTTTGAGGGGGGTGAATAGTTTTCCTGTTTTTTTTGTCTTATTTCTTGTTTGTTTCACAAAAAAAATTATTTTGCATCTTCAAAGTGGTAGCCATGTTGTGTAAATCAAATGATACAAACCCCCCAAAAATCCATTTTAATTCCAGGTTGTAAGGCAACAAAATAGGAAATATTCTAAGGTGGGTGAATACTTTCGCAAGCCACTGTACATGTACATATTACCTCAATTACCTCGACTAACCGGTGCCCCCGCACATTGACTCAGTACCTGTACCCCCTGTATGTAGCCTCGCTATTGTTAGTTTTACTTCTGCTCTTTAATTATTTGTTACTTTTATTTTGTATACTTTTTTTATTGTATATTTTTTTGTGATACGTTTTTGGGGGGTATTCTTTCTTAAAACTGCATTGTTGGTTAAGGGCTTGTAAGTAAGCATGCACTGTATTCGGTGCATGTGACAAATACTATTTGATTTGATGTTGGCCGATTAGGCCTGGCTTGCAGTCTGCGTTCCAATTCATCCCAAAGGTGTTCGATGGGGTTGAGCTCAGGGCAGGCCAGTCAAGTTCTTCCACACCGATCTTGACAAACCATTTCTGTATGAACATCGCTTTGTGCACGGGGGCGTTGTCATGCTGAAACAGGAAAGGGCCTTCCCCAAACTCTTGCCACAAAGTTGGAAGCACAGAATCGTCTATAATGAAATTGTGTCCTGTAGTGTTAAGATTTCCCTTCACTAGAACTTAGGGGCCTAGCCTGAACCATGAAAAACAGCCCCAGACCATTATTCCTCCTCCACCAAACTTTACAGTTGGCACTATGCATTGGGGCAGGTAGCGTTCTCATGGCATCCTCCAAACCCAGATTTGTCCGTCGGACTGCCAGATGGTGAAGTGTTATTCATCACTACAGGGAATGCGTTTCCACTGCTCCAGAGTCCAATGGCGGCGAGCTTTACACCAATCCAGCCGGCACTTGGCATTGCGCATGGTGAGCTTAGACTTGTGTGCGGCTGCTCGGCCATTTCATGAAGCTCCCGACGAACAGTTCTTGTGCTGACGTTGCTTCCAGAGGCAATTTAGAACTCGGTATTGAGTGTTGCAACCGAGGACAGATGATTTTTACATGTTACGCGCTTCAGCACTCGGCAGTCCAGTTCTGTGAGCTTGTGTGGCCTACCACTTCGCGGCTGAGCCGTTGTTGACATTTCCATTTCACAATAACAGCACTTACAGTTGACTGGGGCAGCTCTAGCAGGGCAGAAATTTGACGAACTGACTTGTTGGAAAGGTGGCATCCTATGACAGTGCCAAGTGTCACATTCCACTTCCAATGTTTGTCTAGGGAGATTGCATGGCTGCGCTCACAACGGGTATGGCTGAAATAGCGGAATTCACTAATTTGAATGGGTGTCCACATACTTTTGTGTATATATATTCCCTACATATTGCACTACTTCTCTGGTCAAAAGTAGCGAATAGGGTCCCTTATTTATTTATTTATTTATTTATTTATTTATTTTTACGCACTCCTGGATATTTTTTTGGGGTTATTTTAAAGTAATAACTGTCCAGGGAAAATGTAACTTTTAAAAGTTCATATTCTGTTAACCTATACCCAAATAATGTTGTTGACTTGTCCTATACTCGTATTTGTTGCCAAAGGAAAAAAAACACTTAAAAAACCCCACCTCAAACTTGTATTTTAAACAGACCGTTAAGAAAATTATTGCTATTTCCATGATGTCATTGGCGCATTGGCCAATTAGCAGTCTACTCGCATGAATATTTTTAAAGGGATACAGCGAGATTTATGTCATTTTTCTGCTTACCAAGTCAGATGAGCTCATATAATCTTGTTTCTTATGATGATCAGTCAAATGAACACATTTATAAAATATAGAATACTATGTATAGCTTTGTAAGACTATAAATAACCAACCACCCAACTTTGAAGTAGTTTGGTCTATTTCCCTGCTACAGCTGGCTACTGTACCTGGAGACTTCCAGCAATTGCGCTAAGCTAACGATATGGTAACTTCAATTATCTCCAAACTGCACACAGAGACATACAAATGGTATCCATGTGTTCATCTGACTCTGGGTAAGAAGAAAAAATGAATCCCGGAATCTTGCACTATCCCTTTAATGACCGGTATACTCCCACACCATTCTGTTGTTGGGGTATGCCCAAACCATTCAAACACAGAAAAGCTGCTTTTAACATACTTAATACATTTTTTTAAATGGAAGGAAAACTATTTCACTCATATTGTACAGCAATTAATTATAGGTAATATTTCATAGAAATCTGTAAACACTGGACAGTTACTTTAAAACTTTATGCAAACAGGAAATGAGGCGGGGTGACAGGCAAGTGGTAAAAACAGTGGGAAGGGTAGACACAGGGATTAAACCCTGGTCACGAGTGGGGAGTTGGATATGTGATGTGCCAGGGAGTGTTACCATGGCTCTGCACGATGCACCCCTAGATTGTAAGTGGCATCTCTCTCTCTCTCTCTCTACTCCTTAGTATGAACCTGCGCGAGGTACTGAAGAAGTATGGCAAAGACGTGGGCCTCCACATCAAGGCGGTGCGCTCCTACAGCCAGCAGCTCTTCCTGGCCCTGAAGCTGCTGAAACGCTGCAACATCCTGCATGCCGATATCAAGCCTGACAACATCTTGGTGCGTCTCCTCTAACCAACCAAAGCCCCCAGAGAGAGTCAATAACACTATTTCACTAAACACAGTGAGAGTGAACATTTTACAAACATTTAATGGAAAATACATGTTTTAAAGCAAGTTTAGTTTAGAAAATGTAATTTAAGTGTCACTTCACAATGATACAATAATGCAAAATACAGTTTTATTTGTTTTTAAACACATTGTGAACCACTCAAATGTAGTTTTGAGACTAACAAACAATCATTATCAAACATGGTACAGGCGTAAGCTATAATTCATTACATCATCTATACACGTATGCATAAACAAAACAAAAAGTACAGAAGATAAAAGGATAATGAAGCACTTATAAAGAAACGTCTCCATTGTGGGATAATGTGGCAGGCTTTGACGCAGGCATTTACATTATTATTACCTGATCAAATTTCACCCAATTTATTATTTTAATCTAGACCGTTAATTATAATTTGGGCTGGACAACTGACTAAAAACATCATCCCTAATGTTGTTGTATAACCGACAGTAAAGCAAGACATGAGCTTCTGTTTGAATGGATCCATCGTTCCAAAAAGTACATACACGTTTATCTAAGGGAATGTTTGTGTATCGACAAGTCTCAATGGGGAGAGGGGCCACTCCACATCTAAATTTAGCAAAAGAGCTTTGATATTGCTTGGATAAAACTGTACGTACATAGGCAATAGGTGCGCAGTTTGTTACTTTCAGGTTTGTTTATCAAGTTGGTACCACTTTAGTTCATAGCTTTTTAAAAGTGCTGATTCAAAAGCATTTTGGGCATTTCTAAAGTACACTCTCATTAATGTACGTTGAGAACAGAATAGGTGGTAAAATGCAACCCTGTTTCACTCCAATGTCAACAGGTAACCAGTCAGTTAGGCAGCCATTGACTCGTACACAACATTTCACATTATCATACATGGAGATGAGGCATTTCAGGATGCTACCATTTAGACCAATTGACTCCAGCTTGTCCCATAGCATAAATTTGTCAATGTGGTCAAAGGCTTTAGAGAAATCTATTAAAGAACAGTAAGTGGACGTGTTAGGGCGGCAGGTAGCTTAGTGGGTAAGAGCGTTGTGCCAGTAACCGAAAGGTCGCTGGTTCTAATCCCCGAGCCGACTAGGTGAAAAATCTGTCGATGTGCCCTTAAGCAAGGCACTTAACCCTAAATGCTCCTGTAAGTCGCTCTGGATAAGAGCGTCTGCTAAATGACTAAAATGTAAATGTAAATGTGTTCCTTTTGATTGTGGTAAAGTGGGTGATGTGTTCCAGGCAACTTTGTTTCTTTCTGAACCCATTTTGCTCATCTGCTATATTGTTGTATGTTTCCGAAAGATCCATAATGCCGCCTTGTTGGCATTATGACCCGGTTGCGGAGATACTGTTCGATTTGAGCAGGGCACTCTGCCCTTACCCGTTTTACCCGGTCACGTGACCGGCCATAGCCCTGTGCCCCTCGGTTTAGTCTAATTGTGTGAACAATGTGATGTTTAAGGGGAGGGGGGGGGGGGGATAAACACTGTTAACTGACATAGAGATGACCGTTGTACAATGCCAATGCTCTGACTCTAAATTACATACAGTACATTAAAATTGTATCACTTACCTAAGAGTTTAGTTTACAGCAGGGTTGTCTCACTTGCTAACTAGCCAGTAAATAACTAGATGCTGACTAGTATTTACTGACCTGTTGACTGTGGCAGGCAGCACTCCTTTTCCACAGTGACGTAATAGTGAAATAGGGTTATTCACTTCTGCATCTCAGTTCTTTTGATAGCAAGTGGTTTGTCATTGTGCTTGAACTCTACAAGAAATTAATTTGGTGGACGCGGAATGCTGGGAGATTTGGCGTCACAATTGACCTTTTTAAACATGTTGGCTGGAGTTTTATATAGGTCGAGTGGCATATCTTTTGATTGGTTTGTTTTCAACAGGTCAACGAGTCGAAAACCATCCTCAAGCTCTGTGACTTTGGTTCAGCGTCACACGTGGCGGAGAATGGCATCACGCCCTACTTGGTCAGCCGGTTCTACAGGGCGCCAGAGATTAGTGAGCCTCTTCTCTTCTTCTCTTTTGTGTTCTTCTCCTCTGTTCTTTTTTCCTTTCCTCTCTTCTCTGGATTGGTTTAGAATGAATCCTGTCAGCCGACTTTTTTTTATCACCAACGCTTGACCTGGAGTGCTACTATACTTGGTGTGCAGGCTTTTGCTCCAGCCCAGCACAAGCTACATTCAACTAATCACCTGCTCATCAAGTCCTTGATTAGTTGAATTAGTGCGTCCAGTAGCTCTCCACAACCAGTTGGTGACCACTGCTGTAGGTCTTAACTTGTAGGGAAAATGTATAACTGTTGTGTTTAGTAGGTACCAAACGGAAGAAAACAGATTATTTAGAATATTTTTGAAATGGTATGCCCTTATGAACACATCCCTGATCAAACATACTCGTTTGTCATAGTCCCCCTAAAGCCTGCATTTTTCCTTGCAGTCATCGGGAAGCCTTACGACTACGGGATCGACATGTGGTCCGTTGGCTGCACTCTGTATGAGCTGTACACGGGCAAGATACTTTTCCCAGGGAAAACCAACAACCACATGATTAAGCTGGCCATGGACATCAAGGGCAAGATGCCCAACAAGGTGAGACCAACTGTACTGTAGGGTCCATCCAGAAACACACCCTTCCCCTACTACTGGAAATGTACAGAAGGAAAAACAATTTATTCAGAAGTGATATAAGAATTCTGAAATATCAATGAGGAAACTTGAAATCTGAGTTTCTGGTTACTTCCTGGATGGACTAATTTGAAATGGAATTGACCCCTTCTGATATATTTCTACCCCTCCACAGATGATCAGGAAAGGCGTGTTCAAGGACCAGCACTTTGACCAGAACCTCAACTTCCTGTACACAGAAGTAGACAAAGTTACCGAAAGGGTAGGTTGTTGTTATTTTCTCTAATATTGTCTTAGAGTGGGAATGTTTGAATTAAAACCTCTCTGGTATCCGTATTAGTCGATGTATACTTACACTGAACAAAAATATAAATGCAACATGCAACAATTTCAAAGATTTTACTGAGTTACAGTTTATATAAGGAAATCAGTCAATTTAAATACATTCATTAGGCCCTAATCTATTGATTTCACATGACTGGGCAAGGGCGCAGCCATGGGTGGGCCCGTGGTCTGTGGTTGTGAGGCCAGTTGGACATACTGCCAAATTATCTAAAACGACATTGGAGAAGGCTTATGGTAGAGAAATGAACATTAAATTCTCTGGCAACAGCTCTGGTGGACATTCTTGCAGTCAGCATACCAATCGCACGCTCCCTCAACTTGAGACATCTGTTGCATTGTGTCGTGTGACAAAACTGCACATTTTAGAGTGCCGTTTTATTGTCCAAAGCATAAGGTGCACCTGTGTAATGATCATGCTTCTTGATATGCCACACCTGTCAGGTGGATGGATTATCTTGGCAAAGGAGAAATGTTCACTAACAGGGATATAAACAAATTTGTGCAAATAATTTGAGAGAAATAAGCTTTTTGTGCGTATGGAACATTTCTGGGATCTTTATTTCAGCTCATGAAACATGGGACCAACACTGTACATGTTGCCTTGATATTTTTGTTCAGTATATTTCCATTTTGTGCAAAGTAAGCTAAGCCCATTGTTCATTCTCCTTTTCCTCCTATTCCAATCACCCCCTCCACATCTCTATGCCAACTTTCTCTCTACCATCTTCTTTTTCCCCACTCCTTTCTTTTCTCTCGCCGTCTTATAAAATCATTTGTTTTCCTCCCTGGTTCTTTCTCGACTCTGATCCCTTTCACCCCGCCCCGCCCCACCCAACTCACACACTCCTATCTGTTCCGCTTCTCATCCTGACTCCTTCTCTTCTCTCTCTCTATCGCATGCCCTCAATTTCTTTCCTGACTCCCCTCCCTTCACCCCCGTACCCCCCCTGTCCTTCTTCTGTCCCACCCATTCACAGGAGAAGGTGACAGTGATGAGCACCATCAACCCCACCAAGGAGCTGCTGGCTGACATGGTGGGCTGCCAGCGTCTCCCTGAGGACCAGCGCAAGAAGGTTGCCCAGCTCAAGGACCTGCTAGACCTGACCCTTATGCTGGACCCGACCAAGAGGATCAGCATCAACCAGGCCCTGCAGCACCCCTACATCCAGGAGAAGATCTTCTGACCATCTCTTACTGTACCACTCACAGTCATGCATTGATTGATTGACACATGCAGAAGATAGTTTGACTATGGTTGGACCCCACCCCAGCCCAAGAAATGTATTTATTTGAGCTGGCAGACTGCTGAATGAGAGGAAGTAGTATTTTCTTTCTTCCCCTGTTTGAACAACACACACACATGCTCTGACGTTTTACATTGATCAAGTCTTGTATTATTTAACCATAGTAGGGGTGTGAACGTTTAAATGTTTAAACAAAATTGAATCCTTAACGTTAAGAAAAAGAAACTAACCGGTTTTTTTCTCTCCACAAAATTGAAATCACGGTGCAGTTATCACAAAACTACCACTAACAGGTCCCGATCATCATAAAGAGATTTTCTCTTTTACAAATAGGCCTATGTAATGCAACAATGCTGTAACGTTAGTAAGAGGGGATATGCATCCGCACGTCATCGTCGTTAACAGTTTGAAAAAAAGCGCTGTTACAGAAATTATTGCAGTTGATACGCAACCGTTTTCAATGGCCTACTTGAGTTGCGAGGTAATTTGATAAATGAAGAACTGCAAACGCCATTTGAGCCTCAACTCACGCTACTGAAATAGGTGCGTCTTTCTCATAAATATCACTGTTCACCGTTTACTCCCATTTCAACAGGGTGTTATTCCCTTTATAATGGGAGTTGAGACATACAGTTAACAGCATTAGAAAGCAAAAAAACATCCCTTTTTAACCAGTAGATACCCGTATTTAGCGGGTGTTTTCTTTTGCCCTGTGTTTGATTTGTGAGCTTAAACTTAGTGGGCAGGCTTTTGTTAATCATGAAACAAAGTAAGCCCCTAGACTAATGAGTACACAATTTGCCTTCATCAAACAATGTTTTTGTTTCATATTTCATTCTGGAACCTGCCTAGATTTAGGGGTGGGGGGGGGGGGGGTTGTAACCTATTCTAAATGGCACACTATAGCAGTTCACAAAAAAGCCTCAAATAGACAAGACTCGTTTATTATTCCAAAACTGCAGCGCGTGGTTGGAACACATTTCCCTATGCTAATCAACCAGTCCATTTTGAATTTGTGATAAAGCTGTCATGATTTGGCAAGGAATGTAGCTTATCTACAGTTTTGTTTGTGTATCCCATCAGTTTGATATGTTTTTATAGGCATTAAGGCCCAGTGCAGTCAAAAACGTGATTTTCATGTGCTTTATATACATTTCCACACTATGAGGTTGGAGTAATACTGTGAAAATGATGATAATGCCCTTTTAGTGTAAGAGCTGTTTGAGAAGGCAGCCAGAAATTTCAGCCTGTTTTGGTGGGATAACATTTTGGCCTGCCTGGTGACATCACCGGGTTGTAAATTAGTTAATAGACCAATAAGAAAGGGTTCCAAACCTCTCTGTCAATAACGGCTAGTTTTCAGTTTTCCCCTTTCCCCTCAGACCACTCCCAGACAGTCATAGCAAAATTCTTGCTTGCGAAATAGCTTTTTGCTAAGAAGCTATTTTTGTTTATTTTTGATCATTTTAGTTGAAAACAATCGCAGTAGGGTACTTAATTGTTATCCAGAAATGATTTGACATTGAGATAAAAATGGCTGCATTGGACCTTTTTAAGGCCTAATGGGAGCTAGGGTGCGCAGCATGCATGTGTGGAGAGGGTGCGGTCGGATCGGAATTGAGTGAGAGACGTAACGGAGGTAAAAGAGAATGTAGGGAGAAGAACTGATCACTTGGCTAAGTTTGAGTCGCTAATGCACATAACACATGGAAGGAACACTGGAGTCTATGTGAATTCATGGTTGTCTTCTGGACAAAATTTCACCTGCAGAAGCAGATTCAAGATGCCGTCTACTGTATGACTGCGGTATAACTTAATTGCCCCCTAGCGGTCGTACCAAGCAATATGATTTGATATGGAATTTTATTAAATGTTCTTATCGTTTTAACGGAAAACCAATTTAAAAAATGGCAGTTTAAACGTTAAGAAATATTTTCCATTTGTCACATCCCTAAACCATAGTAGGTGTCCAAGCAGATACCTGCTGTACAACATATTTTCAGTCTCAGCTTACCTGCAAGTCAGATAAAGAGCTTATAATGACTCATAACTATCTCATGGACAGGAAGCCACTCAAAAAGAGGATGAGTTTCATCCACTTGGATCTTCAGTTTTTGATTGGCCCCTTGCAGGTGACTGAAGGTGGATGATATTATAGCTGTAAAAAATGTAATTCTGATTGTTGGGGGTTTACTGTCATTCATGAGTTGCCAAGACTGTTACAAGCATGGAGGGGTCCAGATAATGATCACAGTCATTTAACTTGGGCTTTGGTTTGATTGGTCGCAACCCAATTGTTTGTAACTAAATGCCCCAAACCTTTTTGAATGGGATGTCTGTACTGTCTGTAGATTGTAAAGTCTTGCAGACTTGGCAGCTCCTTTGACTTCCTATTATTCTGTGCTGTTATTACCTGTCCTGCCCTGTGCTGTGTGTTGTGGTGCTGAGCCAGCGTAAATGCTGTTTGTATCCACATCTCCCCCAGGTATTGAAAACCCCGAGCGCTCCCCCACCCACCCCGTCCCCCACCCTGGTGTCTGTGCAGGCCCTGGTCCGCATGCCCGTTCTGCCGCTGCCTGTAGGTCTGTCAGTGCCGAAAACCCAAACGGTTGGGGGTCCTTGGGTCCTACTTGAGCCCACCTGCAGGGATGGCCCCTCGTGTTTAAAACAGGTTGTATACCACTTTCAGTACATTGAAGGTAAGCTATCCCCCCCCCCTCCAAAAAACAAAACCCATCAACTTCACCTGGTTATTACCTCATGTTTATTTATTTTTAAATATAGTTTAATATTGTACACATTGTTTTAGCCAGATGCCCCCATAGACATGATTTACATGTTGTTTAAAAAACATGTCAAAGACAAACTGGATAAAAGTAAGCTTAATCAAGCAAATCAGTCACGCACCCAAATTGTGGAGAGAAAGTTGGGTCGGGTATGGGGGGCTGTATCCAACAAGCTATGATGGACAAGAGCACCTTCAGTGTACTATGTTATCTTACTGGAACAGCTCAGATGTATTTGCTCCTGTAATGAATACCTTTTTGTTTTCCCCGTGTTCCCTTTGATACAATGTTAGAAACTGCATGTGAGGATAGCAGTCTTGCTACGTATACAAATCCATGTGTTGCGGTTCTTTTAGGTGTGTTCCTCTAAAAAAATAAGGATATTGAAGTGTTTTGTTTCCCTCTATCACTGGTTTTCATGTTTGTATGACCATGCTGTCTTTTGATACAGGGATATTTCTGCTTTGAGTCTGCTTGTTATGAGCGGTAATTACCTCTACTTTATTTTGTGTGTATATATCATTATAATGTTCTTTATAGGAGCAAAACAGAAATAAAAGAGCCCACATGAGTAGCTAATGGAGTATTTATGCCTTTTCCACAAATGTATTCCCTACATACACATGTCAATGTTCAGGCCCCTTTAAGTGTCTAACAATTAACAGAAATGTAGTATTTTTAAAGCTAATCCACCAAACCTAAACTAGAATACTTTTGTTTTCATCAGCATTTGTGCAGCTTTTAGGCTGGAATCCCAACTTGATTTGTGCGCAAAACTTGACTAACACAGATTTCAAGTTAGGATTTGGCCCATATATGATACATTTAGTTCAAATCAAATAAGCAAAAGACAACAACAAAAAACATCCTTTTGTGTGCTTTTTTACTGACACTAACTGATGTTTGTGATGTTTTCCCCCACAATTATGTTTCCTGTGGTGGCTGAGAGCGAGACAGTCCAGCACCTTCTCCAGCCTGGGCTCCACTTTCAGAGACAAGACCTCCACCAAGCCACTTATCAAGGTCATTTTTTATGGCATGTGTAGATCCAAAAAGCAAACAACACTGGGCTGATAGAAAAGTCAAGATGGGGAATTACTTTCACTTACTATTTTCTTGAAGTAATTACTTTTTAAATGTATAATATAAATATATATAGTATTTAAAATAAATAAAGTAAATTTACTTTTTTCTTCTTATCATAGACACTCATAAACATACCTTAAGTTTGGTTCCAAAAGTTTGCGCTCACAAGACTTTTAAGGCCTTGTATTTTTTACAGATGACAGACTCTTTCTGGTTAACAAAGTATCATTCCCAGCTGCTCATATACCTGACTGCGAATGTTTGGTTAATCATATGGCTCTAAACTGGTTCCAGATTGCCACAAGCAAGGCTTCAGGTAGCTTGTCTTGTAACTGTGTCAAAGTTTAGCCAAGATACTTGTTAATTTGTTCTCTATATATTCTAGGTGCTGCCACTTTAGAGAAGAAAAGCACAAGGAACCTCATCTGGACAAAGGTTTCTGTTCTGGAGATAGTTACTGTATTTGTAAAGGTGGACTCATCAATATGACATAATCATACAAAGCGGGGCAAATTACTGCATACAAAAATCAACAACAGTATTCAAATCTTCTGAGATTGCCACTTGAGGCTTTTCCCAATGTGAGCTAGGCTCAAGGGAGGCTGCAGATTGGGAAGAGGCAAATGTGGCAGTCTTGGCAGATTGTTTTATTCTGTTTTCTGTAAGCAGAAAGAAGCTCTGCTGTGTATGATGTAATTTTGCTAAGTCAACCTTTAAAAGGCATGATGTCATGATCTGATTTGCTGTTCTTTTTCAAACATGTTAGCAGCAACTACTGTGGTTACCATAATGAGCCAGTATTGGACACATTGGGTGAGATTTTGGAGTCATTATAGACGTTCGAGATTTGTTCATGAACTCAATGCTTTGCTTATGGATTCTGAGCAAAGCCAAATAGATGGCAATCGTGTTAGGTAATAATAATAATATGCCATTTAGCAGACGCTTTTATCCAAAGCGACTTACAGTCATGTGCGCATACATTTTTACGTATGGGTGGTCCCGGGGATCGAACCCACTACCCTGGCGTTACAAGCGCCATGCTCTACCAATTGAGCTAATTTAGATTAAACTTGTGTTATAATTTG